GGGGGGGGGGGGGGGGGGGAGGTAAATGCCTCCTTCCCATTTAGCGATAGATCAATGCAAGTTTAACTTTTTATTTATACATATTATGCTTTGGATGAAAATATAGCAGTTTTCTTGCTTTGCTAGGAGTACTCGGTAGGACACCTGTTAACACTGTTTATGGGCCAATTGAGACGTCATCCTTTTATTGTTTTCGAATCTTTTTATTTCATTCTTTCTTTTTGTTTTCTGTCTGTGTGACTGCTTCTCGCATTAACATGTTGTTTTGTTTGCAAATTTCCTGTAGAAAAGGGGGATACTACTGGTAACCATAACACTTAGTGAGGATGAAAGAATGCTGGTATGTTTGGAGTGAGAATGGTAGAATTATTTCTGGAAAAGAAGAAAGAGCCTGGTTTGCAGCATTTATCATCGAGTCTAGTGTCATCTTTTTGCTGAACGCTTTCACACTCGCCATCTACACAAGAAACCGTCACTTACGCAAGCCCAGTACGTACCTGATTATAAATCTGACTGTGGCTGATTTACTGGTGGGAACAGTGCTTGTACCTTTATTATTTTTCGTACCAGATAAACTGGAGAGGGACCTGGAACTTAAACAGGCTTTCAGCTGGCAATCATTCGTGCATTTTACTTCGGTGTACTTATTTCCAGTTGCTTCGTTAGCTAATATTTCATTGATTTCGTTAGAGAGGTTACACGCAACCCTTTTCCCCTTTAGGCATTGTCTTATTGGAAGGCGGGTTTACCTCACCACTATTTTTTGTAGTTGGTTGTTCTCCTTGACTTTGTCATCTGTGTTTTCTCTTCTTGATTTGCGAGCATCGCTGGCTACTTTTCCGTATGTACGTGCATCTTACATTTTTCTCTCCCTTCTCATTCTCACAGTTTCATATTTCATAATTATCTCAACTGTCAAAAACAATCCTCCCTCCCCTAATGCTGGACCAGCGCTTTCACAAGAAAGGAAACTAACGGTGACCTTATTTACAGTTACTGTGGTCTCTGTTCTAACCATTCTTCCTCGGGTTATTTGGAGTGTTATCGCCCTTCACATACAGAGTAAATTATGTCCCGCAGTCATTTTTCGCATCGATAACTCGTTTAACGTAATTTATTTTTTCAATTCTATAGTCAATCCCTTAATATATGCGATAAGAATGCAAGAGTTTAGGAAAGCAGCCAGAAAACTTGTTTCTAATAAGACATCAGAACTAGCGCAAGTCCAAACAATGGAACCTCTTACATTGCAAGTACGTACTCAAGCAATACCTGTTGAAGAAAGAACACGAGAAATGGAGAGTTCCTTAGAAAAGCTCTAACAAGATTGCAGAGGTATTCTTGCCTAGATATCTTTTGTAATCTTTAATCAATGTAATAAAGATATGAGTGGCGAAATAATAAACAATGAAATAAAATAAAGTGATAATTAAGAAATAGCACGCAAACTACGGTCATAAATATTGTTGGAAAACAAAATATACATCTGCAGGAGGAACCCCGCCGGGTCTACGGACACCAGCTTTAGAGTTTAGGAAAGAGGCTAGGAAACTTGTTTTTACAAACTAAGACACTGCAATTAACGCGTGTCCAACCCTTGGAACTTCTTACATTGCATGTGCGTACTCAAGCAATACCTGTTGAAGAAAGAACATAAGAAATGGAGAGTTCCTTAGAAAAGCGCTAACAAGATTGCAGGGGTATTCTTGCCTAGATATCTTTTGTAATCTTTATTAATCAGTGTAACGAAGATATGAATAGCGAAATAATAAAAAAATGAAATAAAAAAAGTAATAATCAAGAAAAAGCACGCAAACTGCGGTGGTAAACATTGTTAGAGTAACATCAGAAGCATATAACCCGGAAGCATATAACTTTGTCGCAATGCTGGGGTTTTTTAGGGGACCAATCCAAACTTACTTCCTAATATGGAATTACTGATAAGCGAGATTGTCGCACGAAACTTGTATCGGCGATGTATAAAATGATGCGTTGCAAAAAGCATTTACTGTTTTACGAGGTAATATTTGACGAAAAATTAAACGGAATACAGTATTAATCCACAAATAACCAGGAATGTGTTAGTTCCTCCTAACAAGACAAAGTCGACTACAAATGACAAGCACCGTAAGAGAAGTGATATCTTAAAGTTGTTACTTCAAAAACGGTTTTTGCGTGACCATTAGCGCAATAACCTTTAAAAAATCATTTACTATCTATCAAGAATAACTAGTAACACATATTTTCAAGTAAAATTCAGTAGTTGCTGAACTCGAAAGTAAAAATTGCATAAAATTCGTTGACATCTTCGCAGAAGTTATGCGTGTAATAAGACTTAGATGCCGTCTCACGACCATGTTTTCCCTGGGCTAATGTTATGAATGAACAAACAGAAAACAATAAACGGACAATTTTTCTTGAAAATTTTATTCGAAAACCGATAAATTTACCGTTAAAAACAATTCACGTAACACTGACTGGATCGTGGATCTGTTCCCACAAGTAAAATCGGCGTGAGCACATGGCAGAAATTAATGTCAGATCGGGCGCATTTCCCAATTTATCTTGAAAGCTCTATAAAAAATATACAACACGTCTATAAAACATTTATAACTACATGAATTTCCTTTCAATAACGTACTTTCCTTGAGCATAATGTGTAAAATGTAAGTTAACCTGAAAATTCTTTAAAAGGTTGGCATGCTGATTTGGTCGCCTTTCAGAAAAGGACAAGCGCTCCGCCGTGAAAGAAACGAGGTCGAAATCTTCGAAGGTGAATTTCGCAGCTTAAAACTTTTCTTTGTCCTCGAATGAAAACAGACTTTCACATGTCACACGTCTAATCAAAACTGCCATACATCTGTTCGCGTACTGTTCTGGAGGAATTAAAAAATCTACACTCACAAAAGAT